TGCCGGTAGAACGCCGGAAACCTGCAAACAACTCTCACACCGGGGGTTGTCTCCGGTGAAGAGCCTCCGATGCTTAAGTCAGTATGTGTTTGAGTATACTAAAGTGAATAATAGAGAAATCGTGTTGAAGAAGAAGAAAGGCTCACCCTCTTTATATAGAGGTGAGATACCTGACCTAGGGCTGCCCGGATTTGGTGAGCTGTCTGCCCTAACTGCCCGTCCGTACACACAATATACGTGTGTCAGAGGTAGCCGTCGCCACTATCGCCTGCACCAATATTCTTTGGACGCGTGTCCTCCTGCACATGGGGTAGGCTGTCAGAGGTGGTTATCGCTATCAACCACTGCATTCTCGACACGTGTCCCCCTGCACATGGGGTAAATATTCTCCTGAAATTCGGTTATAGGCTCTCTCACGCGCCTGTGACTAGGCTGATCTATGAGGTGTCCAGTCCGCAAAGTGGTCGACCGATCAAGGTCGACTGCGCTGCTCGACCGTCCATCTGGTCGAAGGATAGGTTGATCAACTAGTTAACTGCTCGATTACCTCGACTTCCCACGGTATGACCTCCTCGACCGGTCAACAGACCGGTTTAACCTTGTGGGTATAATATCCTATATCACCGACTATTTCTTAGAATCAACAAAACCCTAACTTGACAAAATCAATATCCAAATATTTCTAATCGCAAGATTGAAGTGTCACCCTTCAATTATATCAATCAATCAAGCATGTTTCATCAATTCATAACCAAAGCAACTCGCACAAGAACGAACAAATCAAGCTTGACAGATACGAATTAGACAAGAACAATCATTCCCTATCCCTAGCAATTGGAATCAGCTATGTAATATGAATTCAACACAATAAATCAATTCCCTCAATTCAACCATTTTTCATGAATTCAAAAGAAGAGAAAAGAAACTTACAATAAATCCCAATTCCAAGTGTTGAATTTTATTACAAGCTTAATCCTTGAACAATAATAAAAAGAAGAAGAAAACTGGAGAGGAAAGATTAAAGAAAGAAGAAAAAATGAAGAAGAAGAAAGGGGGAAGAGAAGAGAGTTTTCTGTGTTTTTTCTCGGGACCTAGGACTTTCACCCGATCGAGCATTTTTTTCTATGAAGTCCCGATCGCTATATATATAAGGGAGCAATGCCGTGTCGTGAAAGGGGTCTTGCGCTCGTGAGAATTGCTCATGTCGCGCCGCGAAGGGGTCTCGCGTCGTGGAGAGGGTCGGTGTCGCGCCGTGGTGATGCATCGCGCGCGAGGACTGCTTCTGTCGCGCCGCGGTGAGTGTCGCGGTGCGGCGCGCGTAAGCCTGGGAGTCTCTGTCTGGGTCGCGGCGTGCGTCGCGGCGCGGCACGCACGCAATGCTGGGCAGGCTGCACTACTTCACATTTTGGAGTCGTTCGGGCTCGTCTGGTATCAGAATTCGATTCCTCTTTTTCCTGTGCGTTGCCAACGAACTCCTCTACCTAATTACGCTTGCTCGACAAATTTTTGCCTGAAATCCGGTCCTCCGAGGCTTCCGACCTACACACCATAAACCAAGAAAAGCCAGAAAATATACGGAAAACACAAAGGAAACCGAAACATAGCAAAACACACAATAAACTATAAAACGAACTAAAAAGCATCTAAAAGACCTAATATGGGGGGAAAGAAAGGAAAAATGATAATGAAAAACGCAACAAAAATGGGACAAACAACTCCCACACACTAAGACCTTTGTTCGTCCCGAACAAAAAGAGAAGAAAACAAATAAACGAGCAAGGACAACGGTTCAAGCAAGAATCTCAAACTATTCAATCAAATTAAGAAGAATTCCAATGATCACAAGAACATATCTCAACTATCAACTCGGCTATTTTGAGGAACAAAGACTCTTGAGTACAAAAGTATATATATATGCCTCACTCAGTTTCTTTCGCAAAATATAAGAGAGGTGCACTCAAATTGGTCGTCAGTCAAGTCAATCATAGATTTGCCTGTCGTCTAACTTCTACTCTAAAACAATGAAATTCATGAAACAGTGAATCAAGAGGACTTAAAGGGTTGTAATGTAGGCTCTTTGGATCGGGTAGGATAAATATAGGCTAAGTGGCTCATTATATAAAAACTCTACTCAATCACCCAACCATAACAATAAACTCATCCAGTTCTCACCAACCGGTTCCTCCCACTAACTCCAAAACCAACACACTTCCCAAGCATATATATATATATATATACATATATATATATATATATTTTGCGAAAACCTTTTGGACATTTTATCTAGGTTTAACCTTCGGGTTTTCTGCCCAAGTCTCCTAGACTGGTTTCCCGTACTCATGGCTTGTATCCACTACATTAGCGGACAGAGCACTAGAAGTATAATCCATTCGGCTTTCTCTTTTTCTTGATTTTCTTTTTCAAACCAAATCAAATAGAAATATTTACAAATTCAATCAACCATCACCTCCAACTCTTAACCCCCAACTCAATGTCATCATCACGAGTTAACAATAAAATAAATTAAGGCCAAAGGGGGTGACTAGTGATTGTTATTCTTGGAAAAGAAAAAGAAAAATATAATACAAGGAATGCCTCAATCATATTCACGTTTCACAAATCTAATCGAGTTATTTCAGGGCAGTCTCAAGGTAAATTTTACTTGACAAGATTCTTACCAATATCACTCAAGAAACTATAAAGGCTCAAACCTCACAAAGTAAATATGTCCCTCAAAACAACCAAGCCAAACAATCAAGATACGTTACTTGATCTCATTATCGCAACTTCTCAATTAAATCAACAATTATCAATCAGTCTTACAATACACCAGCATCCAAACTCAGAAACCTAAAACTAGACCGGTCCACCACATAAGCATGCAAAATCCAGTTAGACTCCCCCACACTTAAAATGAGTCAATGACCTCATTGCTTCAACACAAAACCAAGAAGTCAAATAAAAGTGCCTAAAAATTTCATATAATGAACCAATACCAGCAAACACCACAAGAACACAAGACTCTAAAGAAAACACATAAGAAGAAAACAACTCAAAAAGATAAAAAGAGAAAAGAGTGTGCAAATCGAAATGCCTCAGGGAGAATAAGCATCTACATGCAAGCTGCTCGCCTATGCTCAGCCTCGCGAACTCATATCTGCCAATAAGAAAATCACAAAACTCCAAACTTTGATTATTCCAAGAGAAAACTAATAAGCAAAAAGAAAAATATCTAAGAAAGCGATAAATCACTTGGGTTGCCTTCCAAGAAGCGCTTGTTTAACGTCATTAGCTTGACGACACCTGTGAGGAACTCAACCGGGATCTAGGAAGAAATGAAGGTCGTGTAACGCCTTCGTATTTTCGAGAAGTGGTAGCCCGGGCAGAATGGCCAGAAGGTGGGCATGGTGGGTCTGGGTGGCGGTGTTCCAAATGAAACGGGTACGGGCACGAGTAATTCCCAATTCCAGACGTAGAGCTTTTCCCACGCAAGCTCTATCGTCAACCTCTGGAAGTATAAGCTCATCTGTGGAGCAAGTCGAACTAAATCCCACCCACTTCGTAACACAGTTTAGCGGCCTCGGAGATGGGAGGAGGGACTTGAGGATTAAGCCCGTGGATCTCCTCCTCTGAAATATCCTCAACATCTCGCTGGGGGTCATCATCATCTTCTTCGCCCTCACACATTGGCTTCATCGTACGGGCTTGAGTATCAAGCATCAAGTGGCGGTCGGTGATTTTTGCCTCGATTGATTCGATATGTGCTGTAATAATCTCCATAAATGTGCTCAGTCGAGCACATCCGAGCTCAATCTCCACATCTCGAGTGGTCTG